AGCAAAGGCCACAGCAAAGGCCACAGCAAAGGCCAAAGCAGCAGCGAAACGTCAAGCAAAAATGAAACAACTCGCCAAGGAATTGAATATCACTACCATGAAGAGAGCAGCATCAGCATCAGGTCAGAATGTGGACATGTCCAATGGTGATGATGCGGAGAATGGTGAGGAGAAGGACAAGTGGGATGACTTGGCTGTAGCAGAAGCAACGAATGCCATGAAAGATTTATCCATGATGGACGGACAGGAAAGCATGGAGAAACCAAGCAGCAGTCGATCCAATGCCAGGTTGACACTGAAGGCAGCAGCCAAATTGGCTACAAGCGGTGTCAGCAACTTGAAATCCAAGCCAGCTCCCAAGGGACGCAAGCCAAAGGCACCTGCAAAGGATGATGCTGATGCTGATGCAGAGAATGATGATGATGATTCAAAGGTGGCACCCAAACGGCAGAAACGAAAGGAGTCATCTGCAAAGGATGGTGATGCCAATGAGCAGAAACGAAAGAAGGCAGCTGCAAAGAAGAATGATGATGCAGTGGGGGCATCCGAGAGGCAGAGAGGAACGGAGGCAGTTGCAAAGGATGATGATGGCACCAAGGATGATGATGACACCAAGGAACCAGCGTCCAAGGTTTCGGCCAAAAAACGCAAGGGTGCCAAAGACCCTGTGGTGAAGAAGTTGGACTTTGATGAGCTCGCTGATGTTGTGTCTGGTGATCATGAGCAGCCTCATGAGCTGCCAGAGCATGAACAGCAAGAGGAGCAAGATGCTGATGAGGCCAGGTACCATGCAATATTCAAGTAAGTCAGCTCTTTATGTCAATGTCTCTTGTAATCCAGCTAGTGTTGCTTCAACTTTGGGCAGGACAACCATCAAAAGAAAGGGAAGGGCAAGACCAAGAAGGCCAGCTTACTGTTCTGGCTTGGAACCAAAACAGAAACGAGACCAAAGCGCTCCAAAACACAAACACTCAACTTCGTGGACAACTGTTTAGAGTTTGATCAGGATGGCAGGAACATGGAGATGCACAACCGCTACTATGAGCACATTCGTGCATGCAGTGAGACCTTGCGACAAGACTTCCCTGATTGGACGGGGAAAGAGGTGCTCGCTGAAGCTCGTCGCAGGCAGGTTCACATCCAAAATCACTGCTGCTATGACTATTTATTATGAACTCTCAAAATCGTAGAGTTACTTCCATGTCCCACCATGCACCCGGTTTTCTTGGACATACAAAGACCTTCCTTGCGTTCCTTGACAGGTGGCGTGTGCACCCAGACCGAGTCAACTTCGTCAAATCCTTGTCTGGTTCCGAGCTGAGCCGCAGACGCATCAAAGTGAATGTCTCGCCGAAGAAACCCAGCGAGCCAGCGCCCAGAACTCCTAAACATGAGGAGCCAGGTGCTGATGGTTTTGGAGACTCCGTGTAAACGACGATGTTTTGGTGAGCCTTGCTTCCTAAACTCATACATGATCATACATGCATGTCCATAGTTTATGCTGAAAGTATGCTACATGCAAGGCTCTTGCTCATATAGGACTTCTTGATGGCACTTTCCCCATAGTGGCATATGTTGTTCTTTTAGGGAAACACCTCTGATTCAGTATCTTGAATCATGTGCCAGGGGGAGTTGCTGCAACGTAGAAGCGCACAAAGAGCTGCCAGTTGTTTGCAGCTCAAATTAGGGTAGGCAGTGAGAACACTGCCATGATCAGGTGTTGCTCAACACCTGTCATTCAGAGAATCTAGTAGTGCCTCCGCTTGCATCATCACATGAAGATCGATGCTCTAGCATGCGGAGACAGAACATGACGATCAAGGGGGAAAAACGGTGCTGCCAAGTTCTGTTGTTTTTAGGTTACCCTTGATCAAGGGCAATAGCAGGTTTGCAAACATGACAACTTCAAGGCACATGCCATGATGGGTTTATGGCGTATCATCTTGCCCTATCATTTGTGGGTTATCACTTCTGGCCAGGCGAGCTACCGAGGACGATGGTATGCACTTGGCGCTCGGACCAAGACATCGTGGTGCTTGAGATTACAAACGAGGAATCCAAGCGAACAAGTGATTCTGATGTTTGCACCCTCCGTGAATTGCTAGATGAACTGAGTGAGTCGGTGCCGGTGTTCACAATAAACTACCACACGCTAGAGAGAACTTCAGCAATGAAAGATGGTAAGAATCTCAGACGTTCTGTTTTGTCACGTTTTGTCAGGTTGGAGTCAACACTTTCTTCTCAGTGCAGCTTTCGACTTATTCCCTGAAAGGATCAATCATCTAGCAACTGTTCTGCGCTCGTCAGGTGGAGATTCAGATGTGGGATATGTCATCAATCCGAAACCGCAACAGATCTTTTTCGCATGGAACTATTTCTCGAATATGAACACGGTCAAGTACACATCAGCTGCATCCATTTTTACCACTGAGGTGCCTTGGGCTTTTTGGGGAGGTGATGCATGAAGCGTCCCTAGCGTCCCTTGAACTGAACCCGCTGACGCCTCATCCTCAGGTCATTGAGGCAAGCAAGACCTTGCGACGCGCTTGGAGGGTATTTTTCAACAAGGAGAGCAAAGATGCTCAGTGATGACTCGGTGAAATGTGTTACACACAGTTATGTGTTCAAATGATATTTAAAATTACAGTATATATTATTGTGACACTGCGTGGCCACTCAGGAAATCACACCACGTGGCTCGATCTGACCTAGCTCAAAATCTCTCTGAATGCAATTCAATGCATACTTACTATTCAAAGGCAACTACCTCTATCCCCCTAACTCTGAGGTAAGCCCTTATATTTCATGAAGAAGGCGACCAAGCTGAAAGAAGGTGAAGTCCTTCGTTTGCTGTGAGCCACATAGTGGCTCATGTTTTGAGATGTTTTGAGCTCCACATAGCACCTGTCTCATGGCCAGTGGATGCTCAGCTTCGGACGTGGCACAGACCATAGAAAAGGTGCTTTGAGAAAAGCAAACGCTGCGGTGGGTGGGTGAGGGTTGAAATCGTGTCACCTGATTGAAATGTTGAGACACCTGAATACAGTGAAATTTACTTTTTTGTGGATAGTCTTGGTTCGCATTGCTTGTGTTGGTTTCACTTGGTTCCTCTTAGGTGATTCGACTGAGACATGCCGGTTCGGATCGCTGGATCAGAATAGACAACCTCTGATTCGGATTCGTTCCATTTCATGGTCAAACAACCTTGAAATAAACATCAACAAACTCACCCAGCCAAATGTGCACCTCCAATGCACCAACAAGTATGATTGAGCAGGGTATTGTATCATTAAGCTGCCTGCCAATGCGGGCTCGAGCTGGTGGCCGGCGGCATGCCGAAGGCTGTAAATAATCATGGTATTGCTATACCGCCAACACATCCGATCTGCCTTTCAAACGAGCACTGCGGATCCGTTCGGGAGACATGTCATAGTATGCATATATATATATATTATCTTCCAGCCTCGGAAAAGTCCATGAGCGGGTCCAGCTCTTCGATTTGCTCACACTGCACTTCAGTCAGCCCATGCCCCAAATCAATGACCGACATCACTCGGAACTCCATGTTGGGTGGGAGCAAAATCTCGTTCTCGCCCGGGTGCAGCGAAAATGGCTGGAGGCTCACGCCATGGACGTTGGGCCGCAGTTGTAGAAGCCACTTGGTCCGATCGCCGTCTTGGCCAAGGAAAGACTGCAATGACTCCACGTGTGTTGTAGTGCTGCTGAAGCCTGCCCAAAGGAACTGTTTTCCTGTCTTCGCTTGCTTTCCTTACAAGTCTGTGATGACAACTCCTCCGGTTGCCCCAGTTTCCCCAAACCCTCATTCCTAAACGGCCCATAACCAAGTACTTAAGACACACATGTTAGCTAAACTCTTCTAATCAAACACCACTGTGGAGTTAGCTTCTCACGCTTACTTCTGAAAAAAAAAACATTTGCCTCCCTTTTGGGCCCGTACACCATTACATCACAACTCACACCCTTCCGCACAAAAACAAAAAACACTGCAACCCATTTAAAACATGTTAAAACCTTGATTCACCTTCAAGTTTCCTAGTTTGCTGCTGTGGACGATCACTCCTCTCTGGACAATTCTCTCCTCCACTCTGGGGAGCTTTCTCATGGCAGTGAGTAGCAACCAAATCATATCACGCCATGGCTGCACGGCTTTTCGATCCAGTGCCCTGAGGGCTTGGTTCATCACAAAGTACAAAGAACGTTCCTTGGGAAACATCTCTATAGTGTAAAGTGTGAGCATCGCACGCTCATCCTCCGTCAAGTTGGGAAACTCCTCTTGAAGCTCTTCGGCCTTGCGTCGTGCCATGCGGACGGACACATCCAGGTCACTGGAGACCATTGGACGGATCTGCTCCACAAGCTCGTCCAAAGGGCGTAGTTGAGCTTCTTTGAAGAGCGCACTCAAGGGCATTCGTGCTTCCCCATCCTCGCCGCAATCAGCAAAAACAAAAGTGGGATGCCTCTTCAGCTCAAAAATACACCTGGTCACACACACACACATACACCCTAAGCTGGTCTGAGATATGACTGTCGTGATGAAAAATTAAAAAATGCTGGCCAAAGTCTTCCAAACTCGAAGTCAGTGTAGGATCAAGTTCTTGTCTGCACCTCCTTATACCTCCCCAAAACTCTAGCATACTCTAGCTCCTAAGGGGTGCTGCCTTTTCCAAACCCTGCCGCTCCTCCTCAGCTCCTGCGATCCTGGACAAAGATGCAGCAATTGCACTTGCCATGGCGCCCAATGGCAGGAGCAGCGGTCTGACATGGATTGTAAAATGTTGCTTTTTGTTCTACTGGCTGAAGATGACCACCTTGAAGCCATGGCCTTGAAGTCATGATACCACCTGTAAAATGCTTGTTGTTGGGGTTGTGAAGAGGGGAAATCATCACCCGATTACCACTCAT